CAATTATTCCTCGTATGACCTGTAAAAGAACAGTACAAAATGTAAAATAATTGTACAATTTAGATTACAATAATTGAGAATAAAAATGGTGATATTTTAAAAAAAATTAATGGGGGACAGAAAGAAAAAAGATTATGACCAAAGATAAGTTCTTTATACATTACCTTCTTCTCTGCAAATTCCGCACCTTCTGTTGGTTGTAGGCCTTTTGAGAGCTCTGGAATTAGAATTGCTCTGATTCGTGTTCCCGCGACTATCATTCTGAATCCTAAAAACATATATTATTTTTACATACATTTGATATTAGTGAAGTTATTAATTGGAAATATTAATTAAGACTTAAACTCATTAATTACTAACATCAATACGTATTAATTGAAAAAGTTTTCTGTTTCATCTGGTTGGAGATTTTACTCACGTTATAATATTCTGATTAAAGTTGTTCATAACGTTAGTTGTGAATAGGTTTCTCGAATTGTTATTAGAAGTGCTAACGCCAGCGTTGTTTTTGCCTATGTTAGATACTGAACTTGAATGTTCGTGTAATTTCTTATATTAATTTTATATATACTTTTGTCTCTCTCACTCTATTTCCTCACTCTTGCCTGTCTCTTCTGTTTTTTTTCGCTTATTGCTCTTGTTTCACTTAGATTCATTCCTTTTTACTCACTTCAGCAACTTATTTCGCTAAAAATTGCAATGCTCGTCAACCGCTAACGTAAGTGTTTATATACATATATAAAGGAACATACTTCTCCAGAGCTAGGCTGCGTTTTGCGAATGTGTTATCAGTATTATCATTCTGTCCTTGAGTGTTTAGAGATATAAAATAATATAGTAATAGCATGATGTTGCATCATGGAAAATAATGATAGAAAAATAAAACGATACAAAATACTAATTTAACAACTGTAAAGAAATATACCTGTGGAAATATCTACTGCGTTAGTTTCGAAAAATAAAAGTAAAGCCAAATAACTCAAAAGAGGAGATATTTATTTGTACTGTCACATCAAGTCACATCATCATGACCAAACAGTGGATGCTTTTCAGCGAGTTACATACCAAAGTTATCCTGTTTCTATTTTTCTTAATATCTATGAAAGACAGAACGACTTCTGTGTCGATATATGTGCATGTGTTTTTTGCTGGAAAGCTTCCTATAGCATTTAAGTATTATCAAAATAAATGTATCATTTTATAACAGAACGCTGATAGAAGTATATGATAATTGTCGCCAATGATATGTTAATTTTTTATAGTTAACAATCAGTTTATTTACAGAAAAATTAGAGACTTAAAAAATTTTCTTATAACAAATGAGTTATCGTTTAATATATATTCAACACTGTAACTTGCGTCACTTATTAAAATACAATAATTATAAAACATTAGCATTAATTAATTATCGAATCGCTTTCTTCAAACGGAAATCTCTAACACTTGTAGAAATTATCTCTTCAATAAAGCAGGGAGGGGTCTTACAAATATGAAAGTGTATTTGATACTACTGCGTTCTAATTAAGCTTTTCATAACT